ATATATATAAATGTTTTATTGTGAATTATGTGATAGTTTACATGGGAGAACATTAGCTTTACATTCATCCTATAAGTTTCATTGTCATGGTTACAATCTCCTCCATGCATCATCAACCAACCAAAGGGTACACCCTGCAAGCCTGCCCCCCAGTGGTCAGTACACAGCTCCTCTCCCTCTCTGGGTCTAGAGTCCCCAGCCAGTCTATCTTTCCATGTCATTGTCTCTGCCTCCAACTCTGGCGTCACTGCTTCTCTGGGTAGGGTCCTGCTCTCTGCTCTTCTCCCTTGATGGTCCTAGGGACCTCCGCTCCTAGACTGCAAAGTTAATCACCCCTCCTCGCTACAAAACATCTACCTTTACATTTCCACCCCTCACAATCAGTTCTGATAACAATTATTCACTATTGTATCACAAGAGACCTGTCTGCATCTGCTTTCATCAGCCCCTCCCAGACAGATTGGATACTACTCAGTGGAGATTCTACTTTCCTCCGTGTCCTCTGGATCTAGTCTCACTCTTGAAAGCTTGTAAGCCAGTCAATTCTTGCCTTTGCAGCCCCCCTCCCCCATTTTGGGTAGCCAATGTCCAAGTTGCCCCCATCCTATCTACTCTGTGTATGGAGTGGTTAGGAATGATCCTCGCTATAAAGATTTGTTCCCTCTTTTGAGCTACTGCATCAATAAGTGTAGGTCAAATTCATCAAATTGTTTCAGATTACTCTTTTTTTTTTTCCTTTTCTTTTTTCTTCTAGTTGAACTCTGATCATTCAGTCATTGAAGCCACGTCAAGTGGATATTATCTGCAAGTGTGGGTGTTCTTGTGCATATGCCCTCTCTTCTTATCAGCTGGATGCTTCACCCTTTATTCTAGACCTCTGTGGCTATTATCTTGGGCATATTTTTTAATTAGTTAAAGATAGTGTGGGGTCTTCCTGTATCTTTCATTAAGCCTAAGTTTGTTAAGTGTAGCTCCTTTTGTGGTCTTGCCTTTTTCCCCATCTTTTTAAATAGAAAAACATGTATTCGCTTAATAATAGTGAGTTTCCAGAATTTGAGGGTGACCAGCTGCCCTGGTTTGTCTGGATTTGTTGATGTTCCCCAGATGCAGGACTTCCAGAAAAGTCCCAGACAAACCGGGGTGTTGATCACCCTACTTTAGCTTAACTAATTAGCTGATGTGGACCTTTCTATGACTTTGGGATACTATTTGCAGTGCAGTGGGCATGGCCTTAAAGAGTATTCTCCTCCTTCACTCTCTCATTTATCTTTATAGACTGCACTGGTAATAAACATTGGCTCTAAAGAAAATTTTATTGGAGTATCTCATTTCTTCCCTTATAAGAAGAAACCAATTGGTTGGCCTTCATTGTTTGTTTTCACAGGAATGTTGAGCCGATGGGATGACAGTCAGAGGTTCTTGTCTGACCACCCTTACCTTGTATGTGAAGAAACCACCCAGTATCTTATTTTGTGGTGTTTTCATCTGGAAGCAGAACAGGTATTGTATGAACCTTGAATTTGGAGGAAGCTTAGTGAAATTCTGGCATCCAGCTTTATTGTTTTTTGTTTTTAAATATGCTTTCAATGAAAGTAGTGAAGGTCATTAGATGTAATGTAATTTTTTGTTTTCAGGTCTGCCTGAGTTTAATAAGGGTTTGTTGATGCTTGTTTTGGTTTTAAGTTGTTTTAGTTAGTAGATGGGAATGTTTCCTAATGCGGCCCCTCCTGCACAGCCCTTTTCCTAATACTGTATTTTTAAGTCAAATACTACATTCGACTGAAGAGTGTAAACCCGAGTGCTGTAAAAAGTCTGTTTGAATTGGGATAGCCGTCAGTGAGTCCTGTGTCCAGAGACCTTTCTTGTGATTTCCATCTCTCTCCTTTCAGAAAGGGGCTTTAATGGAACAAATAGCACATCAAGCCGTTGTCATGCAGTTTATTATGGAAATGGCCAAGAACTCTCATGTGGATCCAAGAGGGTGTTTTCGTTTATTTTTCCAGAAAGCCAAAGTAAGTAGCTCTGAGGTGGTGTTAGGTGGAAAGATGAGGCCGCTGTTGAGAGCTCTTTAGTCGGCTCTGTTCCACCAGGCTGCCGCACGCTAAATTCTGTAGGGTTTACAGTGAAGAGGCGGTCATGTTGCTGGTCTCATGCTAACTTAACATTTAAGGGCGGTTTCAAAGGTGCTCTTGTGTAGCCTGCATGTAGAATTGAGCCTGTTCAGATGAGTGTCTGTGTTTTGGAGACCTGGGGTCTTCCGTCAGTGTTCATCAGTACCCACTGAGCGCCTTCTGGCACAAACTGCAGCTGGTAGACAAGCTGAGGGTGTAGCGCTGAGCATCACTGATAAAGAATCCCCAGCTGCAGGGGAAGACAGCCTTTTGGAAGGAAAAATAGGTAGCAGTCTAAACATTCACAAAATTAGAGGAAAGATTTTAAGTTGTGGCACAGAGAACACTGCAGTGATGAGAAGTATACTTCTGAAGTGGTTTTCATGACCTAAGAAAATGCTTATGGTTTTATAAAGTCAAATAAAAAGAAGTGCTATTCATTTATTCAGGGTTTTTTTTTTTAAGTTCATGGAAAAATGGAATTAATTAAAAGATAAATGAAAATTTTCTACAAACTTTTTGAAACTCCCTTATGTATACACGCTGATGTTAAAATTAAGATGCCTTAAAGAAAAAAAAGATGCAATATCATTTCTCACATACTAGGCTACTGGTAGGTGTGGCACTGTTAAGATCAGCGCTGAACTGTGAACCACAAGGTCAACAGTTCAAACCCACTGGCATGTTCCTTGGAAACCCTACATAGGGTCGCCATGAGTCGGAACCGACTCAACAGCACTTAGCCACCACAACAAGAACTAGGCTAGTGATTTTGGAGTTACAGAAACAATATTGCAATAACAATTCTCATTCTTTGCTGGTGGCCGAATGAAGTAAGACAGCTGCTTTAGAAAGTGAGTGCCTATGCTCCTAGATGTACACCTTGGGGAATAGATTCTCAAAGGCTCTTTCAGAAAGAGGCTCTGTGTCAGAACTGATTTCATAATACAGTTGTGTTGTTGGTGCTATAGAGTCAGTTCTAACTCAAAGCCACCCCGGGAACAATGACCAGACACTACCCAGTCCAGGGCCATCTTCACAGTCCACCTTCCTGACCCTCTATTTTACCAAATGTCATGTCTTTCTCTAGGGGTTGCTCCTTCTTGATCACATGTCCAAAATACGTGAGACAAAGTTTTGTCATCATTGTTTCTAAGGAGATTTATTTGTTCTTCTGGCAATATATGGTATATTTAATATTATTTGCCACCACCATAATTTAAAGACATCAGTTCAAACTTCTGTACTGTCCAGGTTTCACATGCAAATGAGGCAACTGAAAATACCTTGGCTTGGATGAGTCACACCTTCGTCCTCAAACTGACATCTTTGCTCTTGAACACTTTAAAGAGGTCTTGTGCAGCAAACTTGCCCAAGGCAATAGTGTAGCTTGATTTCTTAACTGCTACAGCTGTGGACATTTATTATAGATCCATATAAAATGGAATCTTTGACAACTTCAGTCTTTCCTTCATTCATCATTGTCTCAGTGGTGAGGATTTTTGTTTGCTTTGTCTTGAGGTATAATCCATATTGAAGGCTATATAATCTTCGATCTTCATCAGTAACTATGTCTAGTTCTCTTTGCTTTCAACCTGTAAGTCACAGGTTGTTATTGAGTCTTCCTCCCATCCTCATGCCATGTTCGTCATATAGTCCGACTTGTCAGATATTTGTTCAGGAGGCAGATTGAAGGAGTATGGTGAAAGGACACAATCCTGGTGAATACTTTGCCTGCTTTTCCAGCACACAGTATCCCCTTGTTCTATTTCAGTGGCATCGTAATAACACTAAGATGCCATGTGCCTCATCCACTCCCATTCTCTCCTGAGTAGACAGTAGAGATTGATGCAGAAGCAGATGTCAGAATCCTAAAATCATCTCTCAAACTAGACATTAAAGAGATTTGCAAAAACAGCAGTGCCACTTGTCACTGACTTGACTTTTGCTTTGGGGAATATTTTTTATACAGATGTGCTCTTCAGTTGTACAGCTGTTGTGTTAATGTCGTTTTTTAGTAAAATTGTTAAAGATTCCTCCATTTTCATTTATAGCCTAGTAGGTACTGACAGCTGTAACCCCATAAATAAAAGCCTTGGGTCCCATCAGTAACTTTGGAAATGTGAGAAGGACTATCACGACCTTAAAGTTAGAGAACTGTTACATTAGAGACGCTCCCACCCGTGTGCACTCAATAGCAGAGTATGTGGTATCCACCAGCTGACTGTCAGAAGCAGACTGAATCCGTGTGTGTTCAGTCAGTAAACTACGAACCAGCATCAGCATCAGCATCAGCATCAGCACCAGCATCAGCACCAGCATCAGCATCAGCACCAGCATCAGCATCAGCATCAGCATCAGCATCAGCATAGGCGAACAGACAAGGGAGTGGAAAAAGCAAGTCACAGAATGGTACGGCACTCCTGACTCTCATTTTGTGGAGGTGAAGAACAGGCAGGACAGCACCGTGGGTTACTCAGGAACACATCCATAAGTGGTCATAAGCAGAAAAGGTGGCGGAATGCTGAAGCCTGAGTTATAATATGGTAACCTCCGAGAAGGGACGGCGGGGGGACTGCTGTTGGAAGTGACTTCTCAGGTTCTGGGAGTAATCTGTTTCCTGTAGGGTATCTGTGTACACTGTGACTTCCCTGCCCCCCCCCCCCCCCCCCAAGCTGTTTATAGATGCTTTTCATGCTTTTCTGTATATATAATATTGCCACACCAAAAAAGAAGTTGTTTTTGTTGTTAAGTGCCTTCGAGTCGATTCTGACTCACAGCGACCCTCTATGGGGTTTCTGAGGAGAGGCTAATAGGTTTGAACCACTGACCTTATGGTTGAGTTTTACCCTACAGTGCCGCTCTGAGACAGGGTTACCTTTGGCTATACGTGAGTGGTAGAATTATACATGATTTGCTTTATTCATCTACTTATTTGAACCTTTCCCTTTATAAATGGAAAAAAGAATTATATTTTTTAATTTTTAAAAATGTTACCATAAATGTCCTAAAGTCTTCTGAATTGTACCTTAAATTAGAGATTTTCCTGAAACAGAGTTCTGCTGCTCAAATGACTGAGTGACTATTTACTTGACATATGTTGTTTGCTGTCCAGTCAGTTCCAACCCATAGCGACCCTGTATAGGGTTTTTGAGGAGCAGCTGGTGAGTTTGAACCGCCAACCTTGCAGTTCAAACGTCTTTGCGGTCTGGCGTATTAACGCACAGCACCACCCCGGCACTCCTCTTGACATATTGTTGTTAAGTGCCATCGAGTCGGTTCCAACCACTTGACATATGTTGTTGTTGTTGTTAAGTGCCGTCGAGTCGGATCCTACCCATAGCAACCCTATACAGGATTTCCGAAGCAACCCATAGTAACCCTATACAGAATTTTCTGATGACCTTAAACCACCGACTGAGCAGTGCAAATGGCTTTGCAGTCTGGCGCATTAACCCACAGTGCCACACCAGGACTCCTCCTGACATATAGAGAGTAGTAAAAATCCCACTGTACTTTCTCATTGACTATTAGTGAGTGTACTTGAAGTGTATAACAGGACTGCAGCTTGGTCAACAGATCGATCCATATAGATATAGATAGATAAATGTTTAAAATTTCTTGTAGCTAAACAGAACTGATAGGAGCATAGTGGTACCCGAAGGTCTGCAGTTCGAGCCCACCAGCTGCTCTGCGGGAGAAAGAGGAGGCTTTCAACTCCCACCGAGATTTAAAGCCTTGGAAACATGGTCACTGTGGGTCAGAATTGACTCCACGGCCACTTAACAACTAGAACTGAAACCCACTGAAGTCTTCACTCTAACATTGCGTTCTGACTCATTTTTTAAATTAAGCAATAATAACTTTTATTAGGTACTTACTTAGTTAAATAATGTTCTAAGGCAATTACACCGATTAACTCATTAAAGAGTTATTATTATCCCTATTTTACAGGTGAGGAAATTGGCATAGAGAAGTTAAGTAACTTACCTGTAAGTTGTTAAGTGCTGTCAAGTTGGTTCTGACTCATAGTAACCCTGTATAGGGTTTCCAAGGAGCGATGGTTGAGTTTGAACCCCTGGCCTTGCAGTTAACAGTCCAGTGCTGACCCTGCATCACCACACCAGCCGTAAGTTACTTACATAAAAAGACACGTCAGTCTAGAGGTTTAAACCCCCAGGCCAGGGGCATCCAGTAAAGCCAGCAGTTGTGCCGCTCAGCACCGTCACTAGTTTGTTAAAGCAGAATTATTTCAGAAGGATTCCTTTGGGATATCAAGGACTAATGTGCCTTTGTAGCCACATGAGGGACACATGCTAATAAAAGTGCTCTGTGTGGGTTTTAAAATATAGGGAAGGTAGTTACTCCAAAATTCATGAAAAACTAGGGTGCCCAACACAGGACATCTGCATGTTGTCTACAGACAAAAGGAGCCCTGGTGGCATAGTGGATGGTGACACATCGGGTTAGTAATCTCAAAGTCAGTAGTTCGAATTCATCGACAGCTCCATTGGAGAAAGTTGAGGTGTTCTGTTCTGTAGATTTACAGCCTTGGAAACCCTATGCTTATGAAACACAACAGCAGTTACATAGGAGGGAATATCAAACAGTTCATGGAGAAGTGGAGTCATAGATGTTGGAACTTTTCCAGACTTTTTGAACCCCCCTCATGTTAACCCTAATAAGTAAGCCTCAGGTTTTAATCCGGTTATACACCATAAACTGGGTGAAAAAGGAATAGCATTTCCAACAAGTGAAGCTCAGTAAGAATAAGGCGAAAGTACTTGGGAAGTTCCCTGCAGCCTCTTGAACTTAACTCTTAAGTGCTTTTAATAGGATATGCTGTGTGTCGTTGTTCGATGCGTGGGGAAAACAGATGAGGCAACTATGTTATTGGATGATCAGGAGTTCTCTCCTTCAGCATAAACCATTGTACTCTTTTTTTTCCCATGATAGTGAAAAGGCACTTGCTTAACTAGAACACTAAGATATTTCCATTCTCTGGCTGAATGTTCCCTTTTAATTGGGTTTCGTGGCTTTGTATAAGATTTCAGCCAGTAGGGAAGATGATGTTGGAAAATTGCTAGAGATCGTGTCCTCATTAACTGAAGAGAATTAAGAGATTCTAAGAATATCCCTTAGCTGTTGCTTGGCATTAGGAAAATGATAGAATGAATGAGAGAGGTGAAATGGAGTCCCATTTTGTAGTTGTTGTGAGGTTCCTACTTGTAGCCACCCTGTGTATAGCAGACTGAAACCCTGCCCACTCCTGCGGCACCCTAACAATTGTAGTGACACTTGAGCCCATTGATAATGTCACTGGGCCAGTCCATCCTGTTGGACGCTTCCTCTTTTTCATTGTCCCTTCACTTTACCAAGCATGATGTCCTTCTCCAGGAACTAGTCCCTTCTGACAACATGACCAAAGTATGAGAGACGGAGTCTTGCCATTCTGGTGTCTAAGGATCATTCTGGCTGCATTTCTTCTAAGACAGACTTGTTGTCTTGGCAGTCCGTGGTACTTTCAGTATGCTTCTCAAACACCGTAGCTCAGATGTATGAATTCTTCTACGGTCTTCCTTATTCACCACCCAACGTTCACATGCATATGAGGCTATAGAAAATACCATGGCTTAAAAATATATATGTATACACCATGACTTGTGTCAGATGCATCTTAGTCCTCAACCTGATTTCTTTGCTCTTGAACACTTTAAAGAGGTCTTGTGCAGCAGATCTGCCTAATGCAGTACATCATTTGATTTCTTGGCTGTTGCTTCTACAAGTGTTGATGGTTGATCTGAACAAAATGAAGTCTTTGACAACTTCAGTCTTTTCTCCATTTATCTTGATGTTTTTTATTGGTCCAGTTGTGAGGAAGTTTTGTTTTCTTCACATTGAGGTGCAACCTATACCGAAGGCTGTGGTCCCTGATCTCCATCAGTTAGGGTTCTAAGTCCTCTTTGCTTTCAGCAGGCTGGGTTGTGTCTTCTGCATATAGAATATATCTCAGGTTGTTGATGAGTCGTCCTCCAATCCTGAAGCCATGGTCTTCTTCATATATTATAGCTTCTTGGATTATTTGGTCAGCACACAGATTGAATAAGTATGGTGAAAGAATACAACCATGACACACACCTTTCCTAATTTTAAACCATTCAGTGTTTCCTTGTTCTGTTCTAACAACTGTCTCTGGGTCTATGTACAGGTTCCTCATGAGCACAACTAAGTGTTCTGAAAGTCCCGTTCTTCGAAACGTTATCCATAGCTTGTCATGAGCCACAAAGTTGAAAGCCTTTGCAGAGTCAATAAAGCACAAGTGAACATGTTTCTGGTATTCTCTGCTTTCTGCCAAGATCCATCTGGTGTCAGCAATGATATCCCTACTCATTAAAGATCTGGATAAATGACAGGAAATAAAGAGAAAGTCTGCTTTCTTTTGTTCTAACTCTACGAATGTATGTGGAGAGAGGGGAGGTTTCTTACTAGTTTGGTTTTTGTGGCTGAAGCAGAAGGAAATAGAACAAGTCATTTGTTAATGTCTGTCTACAGCAGGCAGTTTTCACAAATCTGGCCGGGATCACTGTGGTTTCTACATTGAAATTGGGAGCCTGTCTTGTCTTGTTTTCTCCCCTTTAGACCTGGCATGCTTTTCAGCGTCTTTGTGGTTTGTGTTCTAGGCAGAAGAAGAAGGTTATTTTGAAGCATTCAAAAATGAACTTGAAGCTTTCAAGTCAAGAGTAAGACTTTGTCCTCAATCACAGAGTTTTCAACCGATGACAGTTCAGAATCATGTGCTCCATTCTGGTGGTGGACCTATAGGTTTATTAGAATCCTTACCACAGGTAAGTTAGAAAAGTTAACTATCTGCTTTATAAGCATATTAGTTCACATACTTCTCTTTTGGACGTCTGTTCCTTCTTATATGTAATAGATGCATGACCATTTTAAATATTCCTGTCCTAGAAGTTAACCCAGAGTATTGGTTCCTGCCGTATTTTGGCATCAAATCTCATCCATCTCTTAGATGTTTAGAGAGACTCCAAATCCCATCTCCCTCTAGATTAGAAGACGAGTTGTACCAAAGCGTTCTTAGGACGTGTGTTACCTATGGATCATTTCAGTCACAGACACCTAAAGATGGCTTTTCATGCTGAGTACAGCTAGCTCCTGATTCATTTATTAGGACGATTTCGCTTCAATACATCCATCCAAATGGCCAAGAAGTGAATTTGTTATATGAGTTTAGTATTACCCCTTTAGTGTTGGTGGTGCCTAGCAGATCTAATACTGCTAGAATATCTGAACACAGCTAATGCTAAACTGCCAACCATTTGGGCTTCTTTGAAGTTGAGTGTGAGACTGAGATAATACAATGTCACCAGCATCAAAGAATGTCAAAAAGAAGAGGGGCTTAGAGCACTGCTCTGTCTTGTACTACCTAGGACTACAGCTTTACCTAGGACTACAGCTTTACCTAGGACTACAACTTTACCTAGGACTACAGCTTTACCTAGGAATACAGCTTTACCTAGGACTACAG